TTTGTTATCTGTTGTTACACACATTGTAATTGCTGTTGTTTGCTGTTCCTTCTGCATTCTTGTAGTAAATTCTCCTTATCTCAGCCCACGGGGGTTTGTGTTTTTCTCCCTTTTCTCCCTCCTGTATGGGGTTGGGGGTGAGCGAGCGGCCCTGTGGCGCCTGGCTCCCGCCTGGGGCTGAACCACCACACAGCCAAAAAGGTTCTGTGATTTTAGCCACCAGTCCAGGTAAGGCCTAATGTATAAGTACAGAACCTAGGATAAGAACTAATGTGGTCATCGGGGTTAGAGTCTGAACATCCTCTCTTAGGAAGAGCTCTCAGATTTCTAATGATTAAGTGTCTCATAAGAGATACAGGATTTATTTAATTGTTAGTGCCATAAGTTTACTTTTTCATTAACACAGAACTTGTGAAGTTCATCAGGGCACGGTGGTAGCTAGAATGAATTGGCATGTCTCCACTGATGTCTGGAAGCAGCCTCAGCATCATGAGCAGAACATCTGGCCTATAGGCTTTAAAGATCGGTTTGAACAGCTTTGCCACACAGTAAGCCCCTAGAATACACACCTCTTTCCATGTCGTTCTTAATTTGCTCTTCCAAGTCTTCTGGGGACACACAGAACTCCTGCTCTTCCCCGCCAGGTGCTTTGGGTTTGCATTTTCCACAGCAGCAGTTGAAGCAGCAGCAGAGACAGCAGCAGAGGTAGCAGCCCGTCAGCAGGCCACAGACTGCAAACAGGCCCTGGGTGAAACACAGTGGGAGGAGAACCCCATGAGCAGTGACCTTCTTCAAACCTGTGGCAGCCTCTTACAGCTGAAGGAAGTAACTCAGGCCAAAGGAACCCACTAAAGGAACTCGGGTTCCCAAGTGCTTGGCCTTCAGAGGAATCCAGCTGCTGGCCAAGTGCCTAAACAAGGGCCAGATCTTCCAAAGTCCTCCTCACCCACAAGCTCCCACTTGCTACTCAGGACCGCATCCACAAAGAAGACAACAACCAACAGGCCCCTAGATGCTCAACTTTTGAAGGTCTCTCCACAGTTGATGGCCTTCAGAAAAAAACTTCAAGGCAGTATGCAAAACCCCACCCACCTTAAAATGACTCATTTCCTCTCAAAAATGACTCATTTGCCCAAGATCACTTTTGCAAACAGTTATTTACCAGCAGGTTCTTGCCAATAACAAAGCCAAGAGAAGAAGAAAAGACCCAGATATATCCCACATAACTTCAGGTAGTGAAGAAAGGCATCCAAATTAGGGCTGTAGCTCCCATGGGCTCCCTACATAGTCAATGGGAAGTTAAAGCCCTTCCAGATGGTGATTCAGTCCTAGGAGGATTTGAATTGCCCATTGTGGGTGTTTCTTCCCATGTTCAGGAGCACACAGGTGACAACTCCTAAATTATGCTCTTTAGGCTGTGATTTCTTGATCTGGGGACTCAGGAGGGAAGAAGTTCCCACCTGCATCTTGCTCTGCTCACTCCCGTCCCCATGACAAAGCACAGAGGCTTCAGCAGAGCCAGCACAACTGCCTGGTGCCCAGACCAGAGATCTCAGCCAGATTCAACAGCCAGAAAACTTTAATTTACTGAGTTTTTCCTCCTCCAGACCAGGTCACTGCCTGTAGGACAATCCCTAGGTGTGGGGGCATGATGGAGGCCTGGCTCCTGCCCCAAGCCCAACCCAGGACTGCACTGCCATATCTGTGGCAAGGGAGAAATGTCCACGTCTCTTCATGGACATAGTGGTGAAAAAGGAAAGCAAAGGAAAAGGAAAGGCAAAGGAAGGCCAGCGACATTCCTGAAAAGCAAATCAAAGATGGTATGTGGAACGTGTGTGGAAAGCCACAGCTTTTGAGCCACCAGGTGTATATGGGTTGGAGGTATGGCCAGGCTTTAGCACTGTAGTTACAGTCCAATGGACACACAAAACTGTTTCAAATGCCATAACTCCTAAAATAAGTTATCTGACTGTGTATCACTTATGCCATAGTGGAGAATAAATCATCAGAATGGAGAGAATGAAAAAAGACAGAATAAAATTGTATAGAGGGAAAAAATACTTGAATTTATTCATAACATGATACCTTATATGTTTCAAGATTTCTTGTGATTGTATTATCATAGTTGGTAAATCAAGATCATATCCATGAACTGCCTTCATGGTAGAGGTAGAACTGCTTTTTGCTAAAACAGTTAAACAAACAACCCCTATGCCTGGAGTGGAGAAGCAGTTAAAGTTCCTATTACCCACGTCAGCATTTTCCCAGTTTAATGTGCCTGCTAAGAAGTGTGGCACTCTGAAAAAAAAAGTAATTTTCACTTTCCATTTCTCCTTTCATTTAAGTTTCCTTACGTCTAATGAAACATCTCCTTACAATTGTCAGATTTTCTGAGTGTGCTAGGGAAGTGGATTTACCAGGAATGGTCGTAGTTGAAGAGGAAGATAATAAGGGAAAGCTGTGGTCTCTACTGTCTTCTACCAGAATGGAGATAATTAGAGGTCCAGAGGTCATCTGTAGATGATGCCTCAGACTCCAACAGTATTATGGTGGCCAATATAAAAATCTGAAACTGCCTCAGCATTTGTGCCTGAGTTTAAAAGAGCTGAAGAATAGTGAGCTCAGCTTACAAAAAAAAAAAAACAAAAACCCACTTGGTGGCCTGTTTATGGTTTGGAGGTGGCAAGGTTCTGGGCTGGGGGAGGGACAGAGAGACCATCTGTGACAATCCTCAAATGAGTCTACATGCATATATTGTGGTTTTTTGGTACAGAATTCTGAAAAAAAAAAAAAAAAGTAAACAGTGTTTCCTTTTGCTGAGGTATTCAGCATATCTTGTCTCACCTCTGGGACACAGCTCCCTTCAGACAATCCACATGTTCCTTCTTTAGATGTTAGGGACTTACTAGGTTCTCGCTGTACTCTCCACTGCTCTCCATATGAGTCAAAGCCACAGCAGTTATTTCTGTTCCTGATTTTCTAACCACAGAGGATTTTATACTTCATAAAATCTCCATTAAAAATCAGTAAGCAGAAGAGGAAATTGAAGCTAAAAACAGCAGCAAACAGTGAAGAAAGCCTTGTTTACCAAGCCTGTCAAAGGAATCGATACTGCTGCTTTCCCAGCTCTAAGGCAATGCTTCCTAGAACCTGAACTGTGGCCAAGAGGCTGAAGGAGAGGGTGGACAGCAAAGAAAGAGGGAATGATCCAGCAAGAGAAGACAGCAGCTGTGGTGGGGAGTCCAGGCCTCCAGCTTGCTTCTGAGGGTGCAATGGCACCTTGGCAAGTGTCGTTTACACACCAGTATTTTATTCATTAGTTTCCTTCACTGTTCTGGTTGTTTGTTACATTTCTGTAATGTTTCAGTATTTGCAGAAACATTTGACATATGCAAACATCAGAGGATGCCAGTGACATGAGAGAGCACATGAACACAACTCCTTTATGACCAGCACAGCCCATGATGTGTTTTTCTCTAAGCAACGTGCCAGGTCTTGCTGTATCATTCTCTTAGGTTCCTGCTCTCTTGTTTCACTCCACTCTTCTCACCTTTTCTTCCACTTGCTTTCTCTCACCCCCTCAGCAGGGCACATATATGCTACCATGATCACAGAGTGTTATGTATTATTATTGCTTACTTGCACCGTGTGCTATATATAGCAAAGAACACAGCTAAATTTGCACTGTAATAACTTATTAACTGGTTGTCACATAAGTGGGACTTCTAATTTTTGAACAATGAGTCATTTTTATTTAGTCATTACTGAAAAGAAAGTAAAAATTAACCTGGAGCACTAGATTCAAATCTAATCAGTGTCTGAAAGTGTTATAAAACATACACTCTGTTTAATTATTTACCGAGTTAAAAAGAAAACATTCTCTATTAGCACTATTCTGAACTTATGTTATGATCTGCTGCTATAGATTTTCTAGATAATGTTGTTTAATTAGGCAGTTTCGATTCAGATCCTACTATTTTTAAGGCTGCAAAGAGACCACGTTATTTAGGGGCTTCCTTGTGTATGTAATTGTGTGCATTGTAACACCTGAATTCCATCAGAAAATAACAACTTACCTTTGCCCACCAGCTTGAGAGCATGAAGTAGGTGTTAACATTTTCCTCACCAAACTGTTCTGCCACATAGAGCCCTAATGATCCATACTTGTCATATATGTTCCGCTTGGACAGGTCAGTCAGTGTTGCATGAGCACTGTTGATCTCTTTAAATTTTTCTGCAGCCTCTGGATTGTCTGGATTTTTGTCGGGGTGATACTTCAGAGCCAGTTTTCTTTAAAAATAAAGAACAAAAGCCAGAAGGAAAATAAGTCACCTGTATGTGCGCAGGTATACAGACACCTACAGAACAGTACAGAGTATTTTAATAGAGGTGTAATCATTCTGAACAGTGTTCAATCTTCTTTTTTTCCAGCTTTGAAGTATTCAGTGGAACAAAAGTGACAGAATATGAAAGTTTTGGTAAAAAGATGTGTCGCTGTTATGCTGAGCATGAACTTTGTGTATTGAGGCCTAGTCAGCTACTGTGCTAAAGGAGACAGTGATATATGCTGAAAGCACAGATCACAGCATGGTAATACATCACGGGCATTTGTGGCATTATGATTGTCTGTTGATTTGCATAATTTAGCAAGTTTCAATGAAGATAAGGATCCTTTAAAGGTTGTTTAAAAACTTGATGATCAGACTGTTTATCCCATCAACACTATCTTCTGTACAGCAAAGGAAATTCCGCATCTGATTGCCTATCAGTGATAGCTATATTAAAAGTCTGCCAACAGTGTCTAAAACAGTTAAACAAACTGCCTAGACAGTGATGGTGGGGGACATAGGTAGGAGCTGCAATAGAGAGGAAGCATCTTTCAAGGTGGAAAAGCATCTTGAGGCCACATCTGGGGTACTGTGTCCAGTTCTGGGCTCCCCAGTTCAAGAGAGACAAGAAACTACTGGAGAGAGTCCACCGGGAGCTCCAAAGATGCTGAGGGGCCTGGAGCATCTCTGTGCCCAGGAAAGGCTGAGAGCCCTGGGGCTGTTGAGCTGGAGAAGAGAAGGCTGAGAGGGCATCTGATCAATGCTGATCAATATCAAAAGAGTAGGGGTCAAGTGGATTGGGCCAGACACTTGTCAGTGGTGCCCAGTGACAGGACAAGGGGCAACAGGCACAATCTGGAACTCAGGAGATTCCATCTGAACATAAAGAAAAAGCTTATTTCCTATGAGGGTGCTAGAGCCTTGGAGCAGGCTGTTCAGAGAAGTTGTGGAGTCTCCTTCTCTGGAAAGATTCCAAACCTACATGGATGCCATCCTGGGCACCCTGGTCTGGGTGACCCTGCTGGAGCAGGGAGTTTGGAGAAGATATCTCCAGAGGTCCCTTCCAACCCCACTATGCTGGGATTCTGAGAATCTGTGAGTTAGCCCCAGTGCCTGTCTTTGGGCCTAGTTCCCCATTGCTGCACTTTGGAGACACTCCTTGAAGCACTGGAAGATGACTGTCATCTGGCTTGGGCTGCTCATGCTGGTGGGAGGCCTCTGCTAGGACAGGCGCAGCAGTGTGCCATTTTCCCCTGCTGTGGCATCCAAGGACAGGTACAGCTGGGAAGGAACAATGTGGGGCTGTTGACCCACGGGCAGTGGTGGGGAAGCACAGCTTAGAGAAGAAAGGGTTTGCTTCCAACCAGGTTGAAGCGCTGGTAGTGGTGAGCTCACTTGTACGTGCAAAACAAGCACAGACAGAAGCGTGTATTTTCAAAAATCTCCACTCCCTTTGAGAAACCGGCAAGAAGGGATTTTCCAGGACATTTATTTCATGACTAGTGCTGTCCTCTAGTGGCATGGGAGCTGATCTACCAGCGGTTTAAGTACTGTGATTCTCACCACAGTCAAGCTATCCTGCGTTTTCTAAACAATCTCTCCGAATGTTTCAAGAGCTAGCCATGGCCATTACACCCAAAAATTATTTGTGGTGAGAAGGCAGTGTGCTCATACTTCCTCTAACAAATTTGTTTTCAAGAGTGGAGTCCTGCTTGACTTTCCACTGAAGTCCCAGTACAGGTTATTCCCTGTGCTGGTTTTGGTGGGATAGAGTTAATTTTCTTCACAGTAGCTGGTATGTGGCTATGATTTTAATTTGT